GAAGGAGAAGAAGAAGAAGGAGGAGAAGAAGAAAAAGATGAAAAAGGAGAAAAAAGAAGAAGGAGAAGATACAAAACGCAAAAGTAGGAGAAGATTAAAAAAAAAAAAAAAAACATCAACTGTTCACGAATATATCGTGCACCTGCCTCAGAGATGCATGCTTTCACAGTCCATGCTGATGAAACACAAATAATAATCGCAAAGAAACCATCTTAATCCAAGCGATTTCAATCTACATGAGTAGGTGTGCAGCAGGAGGCATATAGCTTTATGTCGCATTATGCAGATGTTGACACGACGGGAAAACAAGCGAAATGATGTGGAATGATAACCGTGACATTGGAAAATTCAGCGTGAAGGAAAAAAAAATCAATGGATCTCTGAACAGTTGAACGAATAGATGTAGTCCTGTTATTATGATCATCACGATGAGTTCATTTTCTTTTTACAGAATAAAATATGTAAGGGCGCTCGCATATTGTTTGTATCAATTCGTCTTGTGTGTAGCCTGTGTCCCGATTCACCTACAGCACGACAAAGAGGTATCATATGGTATGTTCTACTTTGCTGATAATGAAAACTGAAAGAATATAAATTGCGTAGTGAATACGTTTTTCTTAACGTAAAATAGGCTATATAATAATATATATATATATATGGGCGCGAAACTTGTTGCTCTTACCCATAAAATTATTTTAAAATTATATAAATTAGTGTGTTCTATTATGTTGTTATAACCTGAAAAAGTGTAGGCCTATTTCCCCCCTCAAATAATTATGTACGGACGCGCATATTGCTGTAAGTTTAATAAGAGGAAATCCACTTGTTTATAGGAGTCAAGCTGAATCCACCCAAACTTACCGTATATAGATCCAGCCTCAATTAGTGGGTGCAGGCCTATTACCTTTTTTGAGAGGGTATTCTACCCTTTTAACGTATATTTCCAAAATAATTGATTCTTTATATGACTCCCTCCAAAAGTGATTTCCACTCTTGTACATATCAAGAGTAGAGGCACTTATAACGTTCTATCTATTTAGGTTTATGTATAGCTGTCGTCCCGTATCATCTGTAACCGTTCTAATGAAATATATATTATCGCCTTTGTATGACTTATTAGCTAACGTTAGTACAGACAGACACGATAATATCACTGAGAGTCAAAAGGATGTAACTCTGTTACAGTGAATTAGTTAAAGACCTCCTGGCTCTGAGCAGACCATGTTATCTTCGTCACCTGTTCAGCAATTACACGTCATCAATAATGATATCGGGCCTCTAAAATGTAAAGTTATGCATAAATAAAATAGAAAATAAGTTAATAATTATTGAGCGGGGAAAAAGGAATCTCCTATCTTTACTCAATACGCATAATATATGCATTTAGGTTACTCAACTGAGCAGCTGCCGTATGAATTACATAAGAGATACATGTAGGCAACACAATGCAAATAGTGACCATTCCTTATGTAATATACAGGAACTCCTAGTTTCCTTTCTGGGAAGGACGCGGCAATAAGCACATGGGATCTTTCGAAATAAGATATTCGAAAAGCACCACACAGCCGATCAATTTTGTTTCAAATACCTTTCTGAAAATAATCGAATTCATAAATTCCTATGAATTTAGGTGTTGGAGTTTCACCTTGTAATGCATTCGTTTAAATTGATAAACACCACAGCTTTTCCATAGGGATTTCGCTTACCTGGTTGACACACATTTCTTGAACTTGTTCAAATATTGTGCAAAGTCAAAGACTAGCGTGTTTGGTAAGTTATTAATATTAGGATAAAAAAGCACCCTAACATTTGGCGACCCAATTCTGTTCTATAAATTTGAACTAGATTTTACATTATTCTTGTTAATCTCGGATTTTTTTTGGAAACATTCCGAACATGCGCGTTGATCGACACGCATATAGCTTCCCCTGAGACTAAACACATTTCATAAGGTCTGTGTACCGTGACATCGACGGATGTTATTAAAGTTACGTGCCTATCTCAAAATCTTCGTCAAAAATACATAATTCCACGTCTAAACTTTAACCCCCAGATAATATAGCAACACAACATGGGGGCACGGCGCAGCTGAATTTGAACCCGAAAATCACGATTTTTCTTGTAATGGTATAGCTGCCCGAGAGGTGTGTTGGTAGACAAGCGCTCAGCCTCCGACTACCAACCACAAAGACCAGGATAATGTTTAGTTTACCTGAGGGTATCACGCTCCCGTATAGAAGTCCATGTTGTACCTCAACAACACACCCCTTTCATCACTCTCCAACCCGATTTAGTATTCAGAATTTCTCCTTGTTAAAGGTAGGAGGGGAAGTGATGTGCAGATGCCCCTCCCGGCGCTCCACCTGTTGTTACCATAACAACGCCCCTCTAAATCACATCACCAACATCTTTTTGTCTCTCTTTCTTTCATTGTTCATCATAATCACGATCGTTAATGGCATCAACAGTATTAAAAAAGTGTTTTGCAATGTCATCTTCTACACCATTATCATCGCCATGATCAGCAATACTATCACCAGTGGTAGCATTATTTGTCATCAGTATTAGCATCATCATCATCATCTGCAAACCATCAATCCTTAACAGTTTAAAAATCTATCCGAACAATAATTATTGACAAAATTTGTATCGATATATCGTCGTCATTAACATTTACTCGTTTGCCTGTCAAGGGACCTATAAAACATTGTCATTCCTATCTGTCCCCGCTGTGTTAAGAGCTAATCTTGATCCCAATTGGCTATTGTTTTTATTTCATTATTTGAAATCATAAAAGTCCAGTAACTTACCCGATAGATGGCAACTCAAATATAATGTAGTCGAGACTATAGCTAAGCTGATAGTTTGTTCAGTTCTAGTTAGAATGGTAGTGCACGTCCATGCATCTATATCACGATTCAGAAATTTACATGAGACCGTAAACAAGAAAAACTACAAACAGTAATAAACGAAAACATTTCATATATTTAACATACATTTTAAATAAACTGATCTAAATATTGCACGTAACATGTCACATTATGAAACAGCTAGGAGTGACTTTTGAAAACGTAGTTGTGATATGCATGCCGTCTCTTTAAAGCGTGCGACAGATTTTCAACATTTTTGTTCCAATTTTCTTTCAAACTTGAAAGCGGCTGTGAAACCAGCAACACAAAGCCTCATGTTAAACGTAATCACTACAGGACTTCACTCACCTCTATGCGCTGTTCAGTTTCTCTTCTCACTTCTTCCTCTCATCCAACCCTTCTCTTCTTCTCTCTCGCTCTGTTTCTTATTCTTGATATCACATTTTCTTCCTTTTCACTCTCTCTCTCTCTATGTACCTCTGTACCCTATATGTTTATTTCTTACTAAATAATGACACAGATTCTGAACTTTGTAAATCTGTCTTCCATCTCTCTTTCCCATTTCCTTCTTTCGCTTTGTTTCGTTTTTGGCTGACAACCGACCCAGTCGAGCTGGTCGGAATGATAATTTCATTTGTAACAGAAAAATCAGTCGCACATCCACCATTTCGAAAAAACACTAATGGAGGGACGTCCACAGCTACCCCCTCCACCTCTTCCTCCTCCTCCTCTTCTTCCTCCTCCTCCTCCTCCTCCTCCTCCTCCTCCTCCTCCTCTTCTTCCTCCTCCTCCTCTTCCTCCTCCTCCTCCTCCTCCTCCTCTTCTTCCTCCTCCTCCTCCTCCTCCTCCTCCTCCTCCTCCTCTTCCTCCTCCTCCTCCTCCTCCTCCTCCTCCTCCTCCTCCTCCTCCTCCTCCTCCTCCTCCTCCTCCTCCTCCTCCTCCTCCTCCTCCTCCTCTTCCTCCTCCTCCTCCTCCTCCTCCTCCTCCTCCTCCTCCTCCTCCTCCTCCTCCCCCTCTTCCCTCCGGGGATGCGCTCATTGTGCCGTTTGGAGCGTGGTCCTCGATTAACACCATCGTACCCAATCATTTTAATCATCCAATATCTTGACTGGGAGTTTGAAGACGATCTGTTGAAAAACATACGAGATAGGACAGAAAAGGTAACATTTTGAAAGATGAATTTTTTAAGGGGGCTTGAAAATGAAAAAAATACAATGTTGTGACCATTGATAATAATCATTCATAAGAATGATTCATTTCATGTATGCAAAGGCACTAAATTTGGATCTGTGTAACAAAAAACTGAACAAAGCAAAACGAAAAAAGAAAGAGAAAAGGATGCTCGATTTCATTTGTATTCATTTTTTTTCGATTTGACTTCGACAAGTAAGGAAGAAAGAACAATAACATTTTTTTCCAGGCCCAACAACTTCTTCTTGAAAATAGCAAGCAGGCCTAGTGCGGATATGACAAATAAAATGAACACAGCTTTGCTCTAATCTGGAGTGAATGAGAGTCTTCACTTACACCAAACATGCCAATAACGGATAAACGCATCTTTGCTGGACAATATTTTTTGTCGTATTGCAACGTATATTGTTTCAAGGTACTTTGTTTGACATCACAATCGCACGATGTTTTCATCTAGCAATCTCTCTTATTCTAGCTGCATTTGACCGTGCCAATCTATCCTTTACACATTTCATTTTAAATCTAAGCTCATAGTATATATTTTTTATATTACATGTATGATATACAAAGATATTTTATCTTATTTATTTATGCATATTTCAGCAGTGTAGCCCATTCAACAAAAGTTGGTCTTCCATGGGGCCCTGAAAATACATTACAACTATATATAGTTAAAAAGATGAAATGAAATCAAAGTAGCATAAATACAGCAAATGAAATATTACACATTATAAACGAATTCGATAAAATTTTACAAGATTTAAAAAATAAGAAATAATCAATATCAATAATGATGAGCAATCATATTCAATATGATTTGTCAAATTATAATGAATATGATATAACATATGACGATAAAATTTGTTTATCTTTAAGATATATTTGGTATGATTTTTTAAGTAATGATGTAATTTTCATTTGTTTTCCCAAAACAGGAAATCAAACATCAGACAAAGAAAAGTGATACATAACTTGTGGATAAGAAAAATTCAGACAAGATCGGTAAGTAAAACAGGCTTGAGTATTTAAGGGAAGAGTAATCCACATTGTCGGCAAACTCGGCATGAGCAAACGTTCGGGAAGATGTAGAAAGAAACTGGGTGATATACATAGCGCCATTACAATTATCCCGCTTGTTTTTTTCTCTATGAATTATATTCCAGTAAGCATGATGATGTGTTTGTTTTCCGATTTTTTTTCTTGTATTTGTTAACACCATTGCATCGTTAACGCCTGGTTAATCAATTTTAAACTCGTTTTTTTTTAAATATGCATACCCCCTTATGGTGGCTGGGTATATAGACATTTTCAAAAAATGTTTCTCTCAAATGAAATAAATTGTGCTTAAAGGTAAAGACCAGTAATGGTCATGCGATTGCATTGTGAAAGAAACGTTGTGGAATCGATCAGAAAAGGTCGATCATCTAGCATCTAGCATCTGCAAGGTTCTGGAATCATCAAAATGATAAGAAATTTGGCTCATTCTTCGTAAAGTTACAAGCACTATACACAGAAAGATGTATATGGGACTACCCTATCTCTCTCACCAGACCATGAGAGAAATAAATTTACCAAATATATGAATTAGTAGGCGGTTTCCCGGCAAATTTTTTATCATCATGTATTAGTCAAAACATATTCTTTCACATGATTGGTAATGAGAGCTTCCATTTCATTTTTTGAAATTGGGGCGTTGCCAATACTGGTCTTTACCTTTAATCACATGAGTGGCCGGGGTGAGAAAGGGAAGCTGGAACTGAGCGAGAGGACAGAGGGACGACGGTGTAACCATGAGCAATAAAAGAAAGTGAAGTTTGCCGAAATGGAGATGGGCGAGAGGGACAGAGAGGGAGATAGAAAGAGGGGGGGGGGGCGGAGAGGTAGAAAATCAAACACACGAAGAGAGATGAAGGGAGACAACAGGGGGAGATTGGAAATGAAAGATAATAGAGAGAGAGAGAGAGAGAGAGAGAGAGAGAGAGAGAGAGAGAGAGAGAGAGAATGAGAGGGAGGGAGAGAGGGGGCAGGAAGGAAGAGGAGAAGGAGATGGGGAGGGGGGGGGGGGATTTGTGGATAGAGGAAATGAGATGCCTAGAGACAGACAGACAGAGGAAAGGGAAATAGAGAGAAATATCTAGGAGGTGGGGAGAAAATGACGGAGAGAAAGAGAGTGAGGGGGAGAGAGTGAGCATAAGAAGAAATAAAGGGGGTGGGGCGAAATGAGCAATTACAAATAGAGACCTCATACGTCCTTCCATGTCTAGCATCAATTTTTAACAGCGGACATCAAACACTCAGGGGTGATCGATCTCTCTATGACACGTGATACCGAATCCCTTCCACATGAATACATCTTCACCCTATGTGCATTTGCTTGAACGTTGGAATTGAATTAAACAATCAATAAAGTTTACACTTTTACTGTTCAGGGTTTTTCTTAACTTCCCTAAATTGATATGAGAATAGTTTTGAATCGTATTTCTTTTTCTGGTCAAAACTAAATTGTTGACAGAAGTGTGCACGATGTTTGTAGGTAAATACAGAAAACCAGCGGTCTTGCCCTATTTTTGAAAGCGAGTCACTCTTTCCCTGGTATATTGAGACCTACATGCACACAATCATCAATCAAATCACACCAATGGAATCACACCAGGCTTCAAGCTTACGCTATAGCCTTCCTATATCATGTTTGATACCTAATTCATATTAGCAGGCGCGGATCCAGGGGGGGGGGCCGAGCGGGCCTTGGCCCCCCCCCCCCCCGCAAAAAAAAAAAAAAAAAAAAAAAAAAAAAGAGAGAGAGAGAAGGAAAGAAGTGAAAGCGAAAGAGGAGAGAAAGGGAAAAAAGAAAAGGAAGAAGAAAAGAAAAGAGGGAAGAAGTAGATCGGGGGGGGGGGGGGCAAAAGGACTTGCCTCCCAGGCTGTTGGCCCCCCCCCCCCCCCATCAAAAAATAAAAGAGAAGCAAGGAAAGGGAAAGAAAAAAAGGAAAAGAGGAGATACAAGAAAGGAAAAAAGAGGAAGAAGAAAAGAAAAAAAAGGGGATAACCACACAACAAATCGTCTTCTTCTCTAATGATTTAATGAAACGTAAGCTTCCGCTTAGCGCGGGAGGAAGAAAACTCAATTCAGACGAGGATTATTTTTTGGGAACGGTACAGCAAATCGTCTTCTTTCTCTAATAATTTATTGAAATGTCAAAGCTTCCGCGTTTCGCGGAGGAGGGAGGGGGAAATCGCCCCTCCCTGCACCCACCCACCCACCCCCAATTACGTCACTGCTGGTCACCATTACGAACCAATATTTGGCTCGCATAATTTCAAATTTTGCCCCCCCCCCCTAAGAAATCCTGGATCCGCGCCTGATGTATATATACAGCGGCAACAGTTTTAATATAAAATGTAAGTTCTTCTTACTTAAATCATTGGTCTGGAAACAATTATTTGCCCATTGTTGTGTATTGTATTACATTTTCACTGACAATGAATTCACATTGTAATGCAATTTTCAAGTTTCCCAGGCCTATTTAGGAGAACAGAAGATTGATATTGTTTAGTTGTACGATAACATCACTCAGTTTGATTTGATTTGATTGGAGATATATCTCATTAAAAACAGAGTAAAGGCTATACAGTTTCAAACAAACCTACACCATTAAACTTCAAGCTCACTCACACATGATTTATTGCGACACTTTCAAGGCTACTTATTATTTCAAGTTCATGTATATACAAAGGGCAACAGCTTCAATATTAAACGTAATTAAATCCATGGTCTGGAAAATGTTAATGCCCATTGTTGTATATTATACAACATTTTCCATAACGATGAATATACATTGTATGATGCAATTTTCAGGAAAACCATACTTGTCATTACTGTTATATTTGTTATATGATACTAAAGCAAATCGTTTCGCTTATCGATAAGATAAATCAATGTGAAGTACGTGTCAAATAATAAATCATTACGTGCTATTTTTAACCAGACTAGACATTTGAAACGTATAAAAAATGTATACACTATTGACAGCAAGCAAGTTTTTTAAACAAAGAATTCAGAAATTTAATAACATTGCACATTTTAGTCTACACGATATGCTCTACACCCTTAGTTGGACTGTAAACAGTTGTCTTCTTAAGTCTTCCATATAAATATAAATTTAAAGGAGGTCAATAATCATTACGAAAACACCACTTTCGTAAGGTTGACACATCAATATATATTGTGCACACATGTAACAATGTGATAATATTTTTTCTGGGGGGGGGGGGGGGGGGAGGAGGGCAATCCAAAAAGGGACTGATATGTGAACATTAATATTGATAGGTCGCTTCACAAAAGGGGCATACATAGTCCTTTTTTGTGGATAGTTTTTTGAGCAAAACACAAAATAGGTGGAAGGACGTGGTACACGTCTTTCTTCAATTTTCTGAGGGGGATCGTCCCCCATGGATAATTTGAAAAAGTGCACACCAACAAAATGTATAGCAAATACTGACTAAAGACTGCAACACGCTTTAAGGCTCTGGTGGGCCCAAGAGTACAGCGTTTAGACTAATAGAAATGCTAAAATCTTCTCGCTCGGTCGCTACGCTCCTTCGCATAATATCCTAAAAATATACAAGTAAATATTGAAGAAAATATGTATTCTGTTGGTATCACGTATGTTCAAATTACACTGTATGTTAACAAGATTAAAAGTTATAGAAATAGATCAGTGTTCCAAAAATGAATATTCAGCTTGCTCTTTTAAGAAGTCCCTTCCTGCTCAGTCAAACTAAAATTTACCTAGTAAATATTTACAACCCTTCGGACTGCACACTAGATATCGGCAAAGTAAAAGTGAAGCGTGAAAAAAGTATATTGCTTGTTTTTATGCTGTAGTTTTGCTAAAGAATGTAATTTTGTAACACAACAAAACTTCAAAAACCTGTGAGGGGTTTACATATAAGACTTATCATACAGCTTTATGGGGGTAGTCCCTTCCGTCACCTCCGCCTCTTTCACTGGCGTACTGATGGGGGGGGGGGGGCAGTAACCCCCCCCAATACAATTTAAACATGGGTTATTTTTAATTTGATACCAGTGATTTACAAGTATTGCTAAAATGGCAGTATTTTTCCATGAGCTCCCGGGGGCTCTACCCCCTGGAACCCACCAAGGGCCCTAAGGCGGGCCCTGTTTGCTCATCTGGCCGTAATTAAATGCCTAAAGTCCTTGAGCTTTCAGGGGCTCTGCCCTTTGGACCCAACCAAGGGGCCTAAGGCGGGTCCCTAGATGCGTAATTTGGTGCCTAAAAGCCCTTCCGTTATGTATTTCTTATGTATTTCTGTGTCTTTCTTTCTCCATATCCTCTGCACTCTCCTTATGTATTTTTTGTTTTCCCTTTTCTATTACCTTCTCTTCCCTGGGTATACGTGCTTGCACATGAACTATATATGGCTAAACAGTTTTGTAAAAAAATATATGCGCGAACGGTCAAGGAGTAAGAAGAAGGCAAAAAGAGAACAAAGACGGCATCCATGGAAGCCATGTGAGAGTGTCCACTTTTTTCGCTTTTACTTTCACCCTTGCATTCTTTCCTGAATCAGAGTTTTCTCACACCTTGTAGACTCGTGCAGGTTATGATCTTGTGTGTGTGTGTGTGTATGTGTGTGTGCGTGTGTGTGTGTGCGTGTGTTTGTGTGTGTTCGTGTAACGAAATAACGTATACAATAGCTTGGCAATTCTCATGGTTATGAGATACAATGTGAAAGGAATTGAGAGAATAATGGTCGCGTAGCTTAAATCAAAGTTCCCCATTGCAGTCCTCTCTTTTTGGATATTTTTGCATTTTGTTTTTGTAAGAGGTGTAGCGCCAGAAGAAAGAAGAGGAAGAAGAAAAGAAACGGGTGAAGAAGGAGATCGGGGGGGGGGGCGAAAGGGCCTTGCCTCCCAGGCTGTTGCACCCCCCCCCCCTCTAATAAAAAAAAAAGAGAAAAGGAAGGAAAGGGAAAGGGTA